ATAGGATCATGTAGGGAATTGTTTTGAGGGAGTTCAGGTTCAGGGTTCAGATTTTAGGTTGTTGGGGCCAAAGGTGAAGGGATCTCAGTTTAGAGGTTGATTTTTATGGTCTAGGATTGTACAGACGATATTTGGGGTTCAATGGTGATAGAGTGTTGGGGCTTGGGCTGGATCCTTGCTTTATAATATATGGTTTTTGAAATCCTTGGTATTCGGAAAGCCAAGAAGGGATCTGAAGTTATACTGTTAGGCTTAGGGCTAGGGTTTAGGGTTGAAGGAGCATCCTAATCAGCAATACCCCGACCCTTCATACCCTTTCTTGTTCGGGCCTGCATGCTCACGATGAAGAGACCTATCACCCCAATGATACTACGAACCTGTAGTTGTCAAGAAAATCCCAATACACGTTTGAACCCTAAGCCCTAAACCCCTAGGAGCCACCGGGATCGTAACAGAAGGACTTCTTCAAACCCTGAAGCTGTAGTCTCCTTAGGATTTTTTTGATTTTATTATAGTGTATGCCAAAGGGAAGTACTACACATCTTAATTTTAATTGTAGGTCTAATCAGACGACAGGAACGTCGAGGCTTCAGAGCGAGTTATAAGCTTCCAGAACTTGGTGGTTCAGTGAGGAGGGTTTAGGGTTTAGGTTTACAACTCAAAGTGTACATATAATCACCCTATAAGCCCCCTTAGTCCGTGAATGTGGTTATAAATGGTTCATAAGTGTTCTTGGGGCAGTACAACTGCCCTGAACCTCGACGTATTAAGTTTTTTCTTGGACCTCAGGGTTGAGGTTATAGAGGATAGCGGCGTAAGTTCTTTGGTTGTCATTATTCCTAGTTCTCTACCACCGCCCAGAGATCCCGATGTAGGTAACATGATAGCTCTTCAGCAAATTTCACCGATACATATTGTGGCGGTTCAAGTATCAGTGTTACAAAACCCTAAACCCTAAACAACTCCTTAAAATTTCTATTACCCTTTGGTCCCAAGCCAAGGGCCTCTACCCGACTACAGGTACTCCGCAGGCGAACCCCAAACCTGCAAACTCAGAACCTCAAGCTTTGTTTGAGGGTTTAGGGTTTAAGGTTTAGGGTTGTAGGGTTTAGGGTTTATAAATCATGGAACATCCCGCAAACCCGTAGAAGCCTCGGACTCTGATCCCGAGCGCTAAAGCCCTTCAGCCCTGAACTTCATTTGCCTTTTAGGCAAGATTTCCTTGGCCGCCTTGTCTGAAGTTCTCAAGAACGCTGGGCTGGGATCCCAGTCGTGGATCTTGCGTTAGGGTTTAGGGTTTGGGGTTGCGGGTTTATGGTTTCGGGTTAAATTCAGGATTTAGGATTTAGGGCGTTGACAGGGCACTTGGACCTGCAGGGTTACGCTACCCTCCCTCAAGCCAACACAGAGCCCTAGCAAGCGCGTGTTGTGGAAGGACAGCAGTCTTTCAAGGACATGTTACGTATGGGGTTCCTGTAATTTCTGATGGGATAGATGTTTGACAAAAATCAAGTGGCCGGCTTTGACGTGACTATGTGAAGAGTTGTATTTTTTGGATAGCAGTGGATGAGCTTCCTTTATAGAAGGGTTTTCGATATGAAGAGGGGTCTAGTGCAGTGACCCGCCATACAGATGCCATAATTATGTTTGACCCTGGTTTCGAGCCACATGGTTTAAAGTTGAGGATTTTACGGCCACTTGACTCTTCTGTTTCTCAAATGTTCAGCTTGAACCACTATCTATTCCAACCCCAGGCACCCTAAACCCTAAACCCCACTGATCCCCTAGATTCCCCAGTGTAGTAATGGGGTCGTTTTGCGGGGATTCCATTGTTCCTTTAGGGGGTCTGGGTCTTAAATCCCTTGGATCCCTACACTGCAACCTCGTCATGACCTAACCTATAGAGTCTAACGCGGTTTAGGGTTTAGGGTCTAGGGTTCAGGGCAAAGTTTCATGGGATCAAGTGACTATGTATTTATTGGCTTGCTGTAGCTTTGAGGCTTCAAGGGCTTATGTAGGTTCTCCTGGTTATAAGTATGGTTATAAAGCCAGTTATAGGTAGCTACTTGGTCCCATGAACCTTTAAATAGACAATCGTAGACCGCTTGCGAGCCCTTTTACGATACATCTAGCTCAAATGTTGTCAGTAGGGATTTAGGAATGAACACCTAGAGTAGCACCTACAGTATGTAATTCCCAATCAGCGGTAGTTTGGCAGCTTCCTTTTGCTGATTCCTAGGTTCCTTTGCAACAACCAACAAGTAAGCCCTAAGCCCTAAACACTACCAGGATAGACCCCATAGTAATACTTCGGGTTATGAGTGGGGCATCATGTATCATTGGGAAAACTATGCTTACAAGTCCTGAAGTCGTTGTTAAGCGAGTTATTAGTATAGTTAGAGATTAAAGTGGCTGCATGGCCGCAGTATACTGTAGTACCATGATTCCCAAGGGCAAGGGTACGACGTAGCGGAATGTAGGACATTTGGTATCCACTGTAGTAAGCCCTAAACTCTAAACCCTTATCAAACCTTAAACCAGGGGCCCCAACCTTCATTTTAATCGACTTCGCCATGCTTTGGAGCCAGCCGGGCAGATCACCCCCGGCAAGGATTCGGCTGACGCTCGGAGTCTGCGAAGCCAGGGTTTGTGTGTTTATTACCAATACTAATGGTTAGTGGAAAGTTTACATGGGCTTGAGGTTTTAGGGTTTTATGGGGAGGGGCTTATGGATACCTATAGAGTCCCTTGAAGGAGTTATGTAGGGGATATCTAGGGTTCTACACGGAAGGGCTACATAGACTTTCCAAATGCTTATACCAATTGCCTGGACCCCACGAATGTACTACCTTTTGAGTTTGACATGATCTTCAGGAGATTGAGATTCTTGTTATTAGGGCTCTTAAAGGTACTAGATTAGACAGTCGCGGCAAGGCGGAGGGTTAGGTTGTGTCGTGAATGGCTTACGGGTTATACTCCGCCTTAAGTAGATCGAATATGGCTTTGGGCATACTATAATTAGATCCCCGTATACCTCATATTCTATCTACTTAAGGGGGATTATACCCTAAACCTTATTCTATCTACTTAAGGGGGACTATATGTACCCTCTATTTTGAGCTTCGAGCCCATTATTTCAGGAATGGGGAGGTAGGGTTTAGAGTTTGGAGTTCTGCTCGTCGCTGGTAAGCTTGCAAAGCTAGTGTCTTCGGGTTTAGGGTTCCGGGTTTAGGCTTAGGGTTCACGGTTAAGGGTTTAGGTAGTGTCAAGATTTCAATCCTAAACCCTAAGCCCTTGCGCAACCCCTTTTTTGGGGGATTCTGTCCTCGGGTTCCATGTGCTGAATTTGCTGAATCCTCCAACCCTAAACCCCAACCCCAAAGAGGGGCTTCCATAGCTCAGGAGTAACATTGGTGGGGTACTTATAATAAGGTTTCTAGTGGATTTTTTGCCGAAGATGCTCGGAAGATTTGTTGTCTACTATTGGTTTAGAGTTGAGGGTCGAGGGTTTAGGGCTTTAGCCTTTTTCTGATTGCTTCCAGAAGTTTCCCTCAACATCTTGCGAAATGTCTGTCATGGTGCAAGCTTGATCTGCTTTTCTTGCAACTTCCCGGTGTGGTTCCTGTCATCCATATGGAAGTCCAAAACCGTACATAATCTGGCCCAAATAGGTTCCTGTATGTACTCACCTTGGGCCCAGATGATCAACTATCCAGTAAACCCTAAACCCCTAATAATCCTTAAGGGTCCAAGGACCCCAAAAATAGGCTTTTAGGGCCCAAGCATTGCAATATTAATGGTATTTGGGCTCCAAAAGTCCTATTATTTGGGTCCTTGAACTCCTACACTCTAAACCCTAATCCTTAAACCCTAAAACCCTAAAACCCTAGTATTTGGGTCCTTGGACCCTTAGGGATTACTTGGACCCTTCGGGTGTGGAGTGGGTGTTTCTAAGGACTCTTGGAGGGACCCCTACTAGGGACCCTTGTAGCTTATGGGGATTAATGTGCGGACATCGTAGGGATATAGGGGTTATAGAATGACGATATCAGGGTTATATATGGTAATGAGATTAAGGGTCCCCAATAACCCTAAACCCTAAACCCCTAAACCCTAAACCCTAGAGTGTTTCACTCCTGCCCCAGGACCAGCGACAGTCAACAGGGGCATCTGCGCCTGGCGAAGAGGGGCATGATATCCTGCCTGTCCCATGAGCGCTTTTGAGAAGGGTTTAGAGCTTAGGGTTTGGGGTTTCAAAGTTAGGTAGATGGACGGTTTTGGGTTTCAAAGTTAGCTAGAAAAATTGACGGGTCAAGGGTTAAGGGTTTGGAGTTTTAGAGTACGCACCTAAAGGCTCCTAATGGCCTCTACAGAGGATCTACTAATCTAGACCACATGATTGTTTCCCAGTATAGAAGCCCTACTTTGTACAATGGAACCATGCTTAGGACCCTTGGGGACAGAAGCCTCAACAGCGAATATTCAATTTAAACCCTAAACCTAAACCCTCAACTTTCAACCCTAAGCCCTACTAAACCCTAAGCCCCAAACCCTAAATCCTATTAACTCGCCCAAGCTGAGGTCCATGCTGATGCAGACTGTCCCGCGCGATCTTGGGCCCAGTGTGATCCTGTCAGCGGGTGGTTTCCACACCTGTGCGTTGCGGGATAACAGAGACTAGACGGCACCCTAGAACGTTTTCTTATTCTGTGCTACTGGGACCTATTCATGACTGATTCCTCAGGGCCTTTTACTTGCTGATTCTTAGTAGGGAATGGATGTATGGATCCTTACAGTAGCCGGCGCTTATAATCCCCAAAGCACAGCAGTGTCCGTTTTCTTCACTTACCAACAACCAACAAGTAAACCCGAAACCGCAGACCCTAAATGCTGTTTTAAGTACTCCCTAAATCCTGAACCCTAGAGCCCAACCCAGGAGAACTTATGTGCTTTGGAGGTAACTGGCTTTCCTAAACCCCAAGTTCCCAAGCACAGCTCAGGAGAACTTGTGTGCTTTGGAGGGAACTGGCCTGGGCAAGTCTTCGGCTTAGATTCCCCTGGCCAGTGCGATGTGCCCTTAGAGTCTTGGTCACTCTTGGACATGCCTCAGGTTTCTTATCTTAAAGCTCGAGAAGGAAACAAAGCCGTCATTCTTTACAAATGTCCCAGTAAGAAACGAGGACTTGGGGCCGGTGACGGCATTTTCTGCGGGACACGAGCATTCTTGTGCCATTAAAGCGGATGGGGGTCTGGTTTGTTTTGGTATGAACTTCGCTGAGCAATGTGATGTACCTGAAGATTTAGGTCCAGTTCAGGCGGTATCTGCAGGCCGGTATCATACTTGCGCCATCGCAACAAGTGGTGAGTTGGTGTGTTTTGGGTGGGATGAAGATGGCCAGTGCCAAATTCCCAGCGAACTGGAGACAGTTGGAGCTGTTTCGGCGGGGGGCTCCCACACATGCGCAGAGAAGCGCGACCGACATGTGGTCTGTTTTGGGTCGAATGATGAAGGCCAGTGCGACGTACCTGCTGATTTGGGGGCAGTTAGGGCTGTATCTGCAGGCTACTCTCACACCTGCGCCATCAGGAGAGATGGTGAGCTGGTTTGCTTTGGAGGAAATGACGATGCTTGGTTGCTATTGGGGAATTTGTATTACAGTTGCCATGTATATGGAATCCTCTTTACACACTGTGCCTTCACATAACGGTAAGTTTCTTTAGGTTCCCAAGCTCTAACCCTAGCAGCAGCCCAGGATGGGCAATGTGATGTCCCTGCTGATCTTGGGCCAGTTGTGGCAGTGTCTGCGGGCGGTGAACATACCTGCGCCATACGGACAACAGGCGAGTTAGTCTGCTTCGGTTGCGGGGAAGAGAATGAGGGTCAGTGCGACGTACCAGCCAGCTTAGGCCCAGTTGTGGCAGTTTCTGTGGGTGTTGCGCACACCTGTGCCATGACAGCAGGTTGGCAGCTAGTTTGCTTTGGACTAAATGATGATGGCCAGTGTGATCTGCCGTTGGACATGGACGCAGGTGCAGCTTGAAGGCAGCAAAAGACTTGCAGGCAGGTTCAGCATTTTTGGGAAATCTACAATATCAAGGATATAATCCCAATATATTACCTAGATATAGTTATATGATGTAATGTAATATAACACAATATAATAGAACACAATATAATAATATATAATATAATATAATATGATACAATATAATATAATATGATATCATATCACATAGTACAATATAACATACTATACTGTAATATATCATAATACAGTGTAAGTAATATAATATATCATAAATATAAAATGATATGATCTAATTGTAAACGCTAGCGCGCGCCCGCCTCGGCTGGCGGGGCTTCCCAATGTAGGAACATGTAATTATAGATATACAGGTATTTAAGTTAGGTATATAGATACAGTCATATGCCTATTACATACACAATAAAACCCTAGAAGTCCAACTAGGGACGCGCAAGTAGGACCCAGGAAACCG